CTTCACCCGTTGCCTACTGGTGGTGGTCAGAGGGCCCGGTGGCGCCAGTGTCCGGCAGCCTTGCATCTGTCAGTGCGCCCCAGGGCAGCTGTGTAGCTTGCCGTGAATGGGTGGATGACTGAGTGTGCGCTTTGGGGTCCTTAGGGACTAGTAAAGCGCTATACAAATGCAGGCCTTTTTTTTTTGTAGCACTGTCCACTCTATATGTGAACAGCTGTTATTCCATATAAATTACTTAAACAAAGAGTCAAGTTTTTTTCCAGTAATCAACTGGGGGAGGTAAAGGAAGCACTGAACTTTTCTATTTTTTTAAATAGTAGAGTAATTGTTCTTAAAAGTAGAAGCTACAGAGGACACTATTTGAATACCTAAATAATTTATATATATATATATATATATTGGATATTGAGAGTCTGAATTGAGAGTCTGAATTAAGCAACATAGGGGCAGATTGTGTGAGGTTGATTTTACAACCTGACAGTTTGCCAAAAGTACCCATGATGTTCAACAGTGTGGACAAGGACAACTGAAAAGCCAATATGTATACTAAGGTTTCATCAGGGTATAATGAAATATGGTGTATATCCTACACTACAAAGGGAAGGGGGGGGGGAGTTCTAAGGTTTGTATGGAGCAATTAAAATAAGTAGTGAGAGTGAGCATCCCCGTCTTGTTCCACCAGAGTATACTAAATATAGATGAGGAAAACTCTAATGCAGATACTAGCTGAAGGGTTAGCATATACATTTTTATCATCTTAATAAATTTGGGACCTTTCCATAAATATTTCCACTGCAATCGATCAAACACAAAGAAGCATCAAAGAAGAAAAGTCCAGTCTGAGACTGGGACCTTCTGGACTCACCGATAACATTATTTTGTCAGAAGACAATCTTCCTTTTGTAAAGCCTGTTTGATCACTGTGAAGCAGTTTGCCCAGCACTGTCTCAAGGCATGCAGCTAATATTTTGGCATATAGTTTAACAACTGCATTTATTAAGTAAATGGGTCGGTAATTATCACACTCCTCCAGCATTTCTAAAAGTGTCAAATATAACTCAGGAGGTTTTCCATCAATACCTGATAAACGACCTTTGTTGGTAAGTTCGAGGGCATAATGCAGTTCTCAGAGAATCTCAGGTTTTTACGTGTTCTGGAGAATGAACTGGAAGGTGAATATTCTTAAAGAAAGCTTCTGTTTCCTCCTCAGATAGCGAGTATTCTCACGAATATAGCTGAGCAAAGAAAGTTTTACAGGTATCATCTCTGAAGGTGAGGTAAATATTTTTTATATATTTCTATTATTATTATTATTATTTATATATATATATATCTCACATTCTTTGCATTTTTTGTAATAAGTGCCATGGTCTCTGTGCTTCCCTGGCTGGCTCAATGCCAGGCCAGATGTTTCTATTATTATTGTGCTCTCTCTTTCTGTCTCTCTCCTCCGTCAGAGCTCTGGGCAGAGCTCATCTCGGGCTCCCGCCCTTGGCCCATGCACCTGGCCTAATTACTCACCTGCCGCTGATCTGCCTGATTACCTGGCCACTATTTAAGATGGCGGTTCAGTGCTTCTTGTCACTCTTTCCCTGGATCCAGGGAAATACAGTTTACAGTACAGTAAACTGGACCTGTTCCCATTTCCTGATTATCTGAGAGTGGATTAGTGGCGAGGTGTGTGTGTGGACCTTTTTCCTTCCTTCCCACAGATCCCTGGAACCCCGGCCCGCTGCATGTTGTCTATATTGCACTTGGTGTTTCTGTAAATAAACTGTTGACTTTCATTTTGAAAAGAAACCTTGGTCTGCACTTGAGTGCGTTCAGTCCTGTGACAATAAGAGCAAAACTGCTTCTCAAGAAACCGTTAACGACACCCCATACAAAGAAACCTGAATAAGAAAAACTGCCAATATAAATATTGATGACTTCCTCCAGTTT